TCAGTGTCCCCCTGACCCACAGCTCCTGCCTCACAATCCAAACCCTCAGAAAGGTGTTGGGAGTTTCACTCATTCCCTTCTCAAGCACTCCAGAAGTCCCAGTAAAGCCCTGACATCCCCAGGCACYGAATCCAACAAAATCTCAGCTGTCTCCAGCACTGTCATCTACAGCTGAACCAACTCTTGCCATGGCTGCCAACTCAAGGTTTACACCTCAGATTTCTGGCCAAACTGGAAACAGGGAATAAATGAAAGCCTTAAGATCTGAAGATGCCAAGGAGGAAGAGTTGCTGGGACGCAGAGAAAAAGCTCTGTGAATTTTTTATCTCCATTTGGATGCGACCTGAATTTATCTCCATTTGGATGTGAACCTGGACAGGACTTTTTTCCAGTGATATTTCTCCAGCTGGCTGAGAGAAGCTGGAATTCCACCCAGGGGGTGGGAATGGGATGGATTTTAAGGTCCCTTCTCACCCAAATCATTCTCTGACTCTATGAAATAATTTGGGAAAGCTTAATCCTTTAACTGATGGTTTTCTTAGCACATCCCAGAAACAGAAGGATTCTTTCCTTCACTCWGGACAAACATCTCCACAAATCTCCACTCACACACCAATTATTTTCTCTCCCCATGAGTTCTGCCCCCAAACTGCCAACACCTTCCCCCAGTTTACTCCCTCCCACTTGATCCTACAAATCAGGATATTTCTGGAAAATCTTTGCTAACCCCACTAGACATTTTGGGATCTGTGATTCCTCCCTCCTGCCACGGCCAGCAGCTGTTATAGGAACAATTCTGAGTGGTTTTACACAGCTTGGCACCAGGGAGTTGCTACTCACTGCTTGTCACATCCTACAACTGATTTGCCTGGTTAACTCCTCCACTGTTTTTTTTTTTCTGGCAACTGGAGCTCAGCTAATGGAAGAGAAGAAAGCTGGGGAGGGAAGAAGCAAAGAACCTGGAGTGTTTCCTTTTTTTTTTTTTTTTTTCAAAAATAAATACTATAGCTTGGCCTTTCCCCTCGTTAATGGATTCTCCATTCATTATTCAGAGATAACTCTTAATGGATGGGAGATTAGAGCTGGCTGAGGCAAACAGAGGAAATGAGTTATGGTTTTTTTTGAGTGCTGGATCCACCCTGGGCAAACRGCAAGGAGACCCCATCCCTTTGTTCAAATCTTTGGGATATGGGATCAACCTCCAAAGCTCTGGGTGTAGGCACAAACATGTGGAAACTGGCTCAGCTCACATTTATGTGGACGAGGATTATTCAAACCAAGGAAAATGAAAAGGAGAGAGCTCGGATGTTCAGCTTTGTGAAGACAAAGGAAATTRTCCTGTGGGACTCGGGGAAAGGAGAAGCTCAAGGAAAGTGAAAAATCTATTTGAATGATTTTCATGCCRACATTAAAATATGCATAAGCTGTATCATATTAGAGGTTTAACCCGGAGAGAAAGGAATTTCTRGGCCAGCTTTCCGGCTGACCTGGCAGAGACTAAAGAAACCTTAAAAAGTATTATGATTTATTGATGAAACATTTACACTGCTGCAGCAAGAAGAGATTACATCTGATGATTTGTGAGCATCCTCCCAGTCCACGTGGCTCGAAATGAAGGTCTTCAATATATTAAACCAAGTAATTCATAGGAAAATAATCCAACCTCAGTGATCTTGGGATTCTCTTCTCTTCTCTTCTCTTCTCTTCTCTTCTCTTCTCTTCTCTTCTCTTCTCTTCTCTTCTCTTCTCTTCTCTTCTCTTCTCTTCTCTTCTC